CAATGTTTATCAAAATCGGATATTGAACATGTTTGTTCATCACAATTATTATCTGATTCTGTTTATACATTATCTGAAATGGCTAATGAACAATTAAATCAATTAGAAACATTTTCATTAGCACAAGTTCATGTTAAATGTCAACAAGATTTAGAATTATGGCATTCAGCAGCTGTTAATCATCTTGGACAAATATTTACTCAACGTTTAGCTGATTTAAATAAAATTTATAATGAAGATCTTCAACCGGATTTAGAAAAATATAAACAAAAAATGATTGAACAACTTAAAAATCGAATTTTACCAAAAATTAATAAAATGGTTAATGATCCATCAAGTAGTACAAAAAAAGCTGAACAAATTCAGGTTAGACTTTTTTTTTGTATAACACATTCGACATATTACTTTAGTTTAAATCGATAATTGATTAAGAAAACAAGAGAGTTTAGAATACAATTTTAAATTGATTTGATTTAAGATAAAAAAAAAGTCGAAATTTTTCACAAAACATAATCGATGCCATAGTGAACTTGCGTACTGTTTACATATCTAATTTAGTGGCGGAGCCAGGATTTTCAGCTGAGGAGGGCTCCGCCCCATCTGAGGGACCTTTGGCGAATAAAATACATGCTTTAAAAATTTTCCTAGGGGTGGTTCAAAAGTTCCTAAGGGGGCTGGCCACCCCCTGGCTTCGCCACTAATCTAATTGTTATAATATTTTAATCTGTAACGGTGAAAAAAACATTTGGTCACATTGGAATGAATGAGATTTTATCGTTGAATTCTTATTAACTATCTAATGAAAGATAGCTACTTGAAATAATTGACGATCTACTATCCAATATTGACTTACACTAAAGTCAATATTATCTTAAAAACGTTTTATAAATCTATTTGATCTAGAAAATGTTATTAACAGTTGATGTTGTAAACCGACAAACTAGAAAAAAGAAAATATGATGCACAGTTCATATGTGTTTATCTTATCGAAGGAGATAAGTGTTTGAGAATGATCTGTCTATTAAATTAATTGTAAATAGAAATCAATTATTTTTAGGGTTTATTAAATCATATTAAAAGTGAAAGTGAAATGTTAGTTAATCGTCAATGGTTAAATGTTCAATTACCTGATATAAAAAATTTTTCAGTTCCAATTCGTATAGCAAAAATGGCTTTAGCTGCTCGTTTAACTGATGGAGAAAAAGATCCATTAGATGATTTAAGTGATGATGAAACAAAAAAAGATAAAAATATTGCAATTAAAAAAAAGAAAAAACCAAATTCAATTGATATTATGGAAATATTTGCATTAAATCCTGAACCAATAAAAACATATTTATTAGAAACAAATTCTTCAACATTGGCATTTTCAACAAAACATATTCTTCTTCATGATAATAAAAAATTAATTTTATATGATTTAAGTAAAAAAATTCATGAATTTGAATGGAATGATAATGATTATGGTTTGTATTCAATTTTTTCATTTAAAAAACGATTGAACTCCAATAATAGATAAGCATAGAAGAAAGTAAAAATCGAGAAAATTTCATCTTTAAAAGTAGTTTTTCTCGAGAATTTCAACAAAAATGTGTAAATCTATATCTTTATTTTGTGTTATGCCTCCAATCATAGGTTTGTTACCAGCGGCGGATCCAGGAAGTGACAGATAAGCGGCAAGTGAAGTCCAATAAACGAAACGGAAGCATATGAGCGAATAGAATAAAAATATCAAATATTCAAGAAAAATTATTAGAAAGAAAAACCTTGGAGTTATATCCAAAGGGGATGGCGGTCGCCACCCCTGAATCCGTCACTATTTGTCAATGATAAATTGTTTAATGAAAGTTCTTGATCGAGACGATTTTCCTCTAGAACGAAAGATTTTTGATTTGTTTATCAAACAAAATCGTTTTAAAATGATTATATAAAATTTAACTGATTATTATTTTCGTTATAATAATAAATTCTTGAAAGATATTTTTAATCTTTACGATCATTTTAACAAAAAAACAAACAACATTTTTATTTTCGTTCGTTTGTCTTAAATATAAAAACTTAAAATATAATAATCAAATTCTATGATTATTATTCTATTTATTAAAGGTATATTGGTTGATATATGTTGGATGTCATCATTATCATTATTTGTAATCTTAACAATTCATTCTGTATATTTATATGATCCATCAAAAAGTATTGGAAGTGTTCCAGTTAAAGTTGAATCAATAAAACCATTAGATCGAACACATGTATTAGCATCACTTTCACCATTTGATAGAGATTTATATATAAATTATCATAAAGGTGTTCATATAGATCAATATCGTGTATCACCGAAATCTGAATGGACATTAGAAAAAAGATTTTCAAAAAATGAATGTTCAGAAACAAAAGATATTGGAATTCGTGATGTACGATGTGATAATGAACATATTTGTTTATCAATAATGCAACAAGATGATTTAAAATGGAGATTAGATTTAATGTCACGTGATATGGTTAGAGTACGACGTGGTGTTCCAATGGATCATGGAGAAAATCAACATAAATTTTTTTCAATGCTTATACCACTTCAAGATCAACGATGGTTATTTGTTAATTGGTTTACTAATCAACTTTGGATTGTTGATCAACAAGGAAAAACAAGATTAGTTAAAGAAACAAAAATTAAAAATATTCGAAATATTTCTATTTCAACAGATTCCTCTTATATGGCTATTAGAAGCGAAAAACCATCGGCTCTTAAAGTATATAAACTTGAATAAATTTTGTTCTTTCGTTTTTTTTTTGTCTTTGTTAATACTTATGTCTTGTTGTCTCAATTAATAAATCATTTAGAAATAGTCGATATTGATTGAATTAGAATGTACATTATGAATAGATCCATTAGTGTTTTTATTAAATTAAATTCATTTTCTATTTAGATTGAAAAAAAAAAAGAAATCTGACGGAGAATTGTTTTTTAAATATTTAACAAAATTTTATTTTATTATTCGAAAACAAAAAAAGAAAAAAATCTATTTTCATATTAAACTATGCTTTAATTGTCTTTATATTTAAATAATTTTTTTTCTTTTCAATAAATGTTTCAGTCAGATGTTTAAGTTAAATAAGAGATTTTATAATTAATATCGATAAACCTTTATGAACATAATAAAAAAAAAATTGAAGATAAATATTATCTTGTAAAGAATTCTAATTTTTGTCAATATTCATATTTGATAAATTTCAAACGATATATTTATTATTCGATTTATATTAGTTCAGCTCTCAATGAATCATTTTATTAATATGTTTGAAATATTCTTATTGTGGAAAAAAAATTAAAAGTACATCAATATTCATAGATTTTGAGTAATAGTTATCAATGTTAGTAATTTAAAATGTATAATATAATAATTAAGATCTAATTGAACATATATTTAAACGTTATTTTATTGAGATTAACGATTAAATATTCATATTAGAATAATCACATCTTTTTTTTTGCAGATATTTGAAAGAAAGATTTTGTTTATTTCATAAAATAAGTCAAAGTAAAGCAAATCTAGATTTGTTTTTATAGAGTTGATTAGAAAAAAAAATGTTTAAACTAATAGAAAATAATTTGTATATAAACTTCCGATTATTTTTCTTAGTAAACAGAAGAAATTAGATTTTGGATTAGACTATCTCGAAATATCTTGATTAAATCAATAAAAAATGGCAATAGGATACATTGATCTATATTTATCGAATTGACTCTTGTTATTTCATTATATTAAAAGATTTTTGTCCTTATCAGATTTTAGACTATTTTAACTTTGTTTTGATATTTATTGAATAAATATTTATACTCTTTTATATCAAAATAAAAATTTTTATTCAAAAAAATTAAAGTTGATACATATCATACATCAATTATTCGAATATATATTCAATAAAATCATTGATAATTGATTAATATTGTTAACTATAAATAAATATATATAATTAGATATTACAATTGAACTTTTTTTATATTAGAAATAGTTCAATAAATAGAATTCTCTAAGATGAATTTCTATTGAATAACATATCAAATAGATATTGTTTTATTCAAAATAAGTTCAATTAGATAAAGGAATATTAATAGATAAATAAGTTATATTAATAAAAATGTGTTTTTAGGTGATTAACTCTATATGTTTATTTTTAGATTTTTAATATAGAATTTAAATTTATATAAATGAAAAGCTTCACTATATGATATTTAATTAGTATTATTAAATGAAAATTAAAGTGAATGTTTTATTTAAAATTGATTTATGTGTTTTATTGAATAATATTCTTATTGAAAATAATTAAGAATATTCAAATCTTAATTTTATAAATGAACTTAATTATGTAATTTATAATTCAATCGTTCTCATTAGTCAAAAAGACATCATGTTTTTTTTTCAGTAGAAATATATATAAGATGAACATTTGAAAAGAACTTCCGTTTATATCAAATCATCCGTTCATTCACGGCTTATATGATAAAAGTAAAAAGACTTTCTTTCTTTCAACTTGATTATCTTCTCAAGTATCATTGATACTTTCCTTAAAAACATATTTATTATACAAATCGATTGCCAATTGCATTTTTGCCTAGATTTTCCGAATGGACAATAAATATATTACTACGATGGTTTTTTAAAGGTTGTTTTAAATATTATTTTAAAATAAAAATGAATAAAAAAAGGAAAGAATGATGTTTATTTTTTATTTCTAAGTAAGAATTAATCGCAAAAAAAAACAATTTTTTTTCACAATAATAAACATCAATAGAAAATTTATTTAACTATGAAGATAAAAAAAAAAATACTGTTTTGCACCGATATTTTGTTTAATTTAACAAAGAAAATAGAAATGTTCTCGAATTAATATTGTTTCTGTTGATATTAGTTTTAAAATGAATAAGAGTCAAAATTAAAAAAAAACAGATGCCTGCATCATTTAAATAAATGTTCAATAAATTGATTTATTTAATTAGATTATAAATAATTTGGTCGACACATGCAACAGATTATTTGACATTTTTGATAAAATCGATCACAAAAGGTTGAATTTTCATTTGATGCTAATGAAGATCGTCTCGACATTTTGTCATTTATTGGAGCAAATCGTAAACGATGAACATTTAATGGATTTGAATCGATCAATCTTCCACCAGCAGCCATCAACGATTTTTCTAATAGATCATCTATTTGTATATATCAAACATTTTATTTATAATAATTATTATGAATTAACATACCTGATTCATGCATATCTGGTATTTGACTATAATAACGTTGATTTAATACATATGCATGTTCTTCTAAAATTGATATGTCTCTAAAATATAAACTCTTGTTTCTTTTTTGTTTATATATATATATTAAATAAATAATACGCTTTTATTTGCATGATATCTTGCATATTTTGAATATCTTCATTATTTTCCGCTTTTTGATCCATATTTGAAATCGGAAAAGGTTTTATTGTAACATTATTTAAAGTAGCTAAACCAATAGAAGCTGATGATATTAATGAAGAAAATAAATATTGAGCTTTAACAAGTTCATTTCGAAAATATTCAATACAATAAACAAGATTTTGAGGATGATGAGATAATATATTTGATGCACTTGCTTTCGAACTAACTGATGCTCTATATTTAATCAAATATTTATTTTTTAAGATGTAAATATAGATATAAATAAATAAATGAAAAAAAAAAAGCAAACCTTTTTCCTGATTCATTAGCTAATTTATAAATAAAATCAGTTATTTTATTAAATAATTGATGTTTTAATTTAAAAAAATCATCACGAATTGTTGAAACAGAATTCATTGTTTCTAATAAATATTTTAAACGAGAAAGATTTTCTTGAATTTCTCCAAACATCTAATAAAGAAATAAATAAATAAAAGAAATTTTTATTTTATTAAATAAAAAAAAGAACTTTATCAAGATCATATTTGGTAACTTCATGTATATCATGAACAGATGTTTTTCTCGATGGTTGATGAGTTGATACTTTAATTATAGATGGATGAGTTTGAGAAGAACCTTCATTATTATTTGTTGTTGTTTGTAAATTATATGTCTTTTGAATAAGTTCTAATGATTTATCGATATTTCGACCAGTGGATGACATAACAAATAAAAGACATTGAGTTTAAGAAGAAATAAATGTCTTTCTTTTTTTAAAAAAAAAAATTTTTTCTCTTTATTTTAATTTTGAACTAAAAAGCATTGAAGAATTCCCGTGAGGCCAATTAATGATATAGTTCATCTCTCGAATATAGATAATAATCGTTAATCATCAACATTTTTTTTTTTCTTCTTCTCCTTGTTCTTGCCTGTAGTTTCCTTTTGATGATGATGAAAAGAAGAAGAAAAAGACGGTCGAAGAGAACTTCTCACTCTTTTACTTCAGCCAATCCTTTTTATTAAAATAGTCGAAATAGAAAAAAAAACCGAGAAAGACTGAGAAGAACTTTCTCAATTTTCACTATGTGTTTTTTTTTCTTCCGTTAACATCGTATTTGCCGTTTTTGTCTCATGACTGATGATAATGAAATGTTAAAACATATTTTGTTTTTTTGTGGTTTATATTTAAAAAAGTAAATAAAATGTACTTTAACTAATTTATATCGATGAACAATTTAAATATTCTTCAATATAAACAAGTTAAATATATAGAATTCATAGTCGATTGTCTTTTATGTCAATGGAATATAGAAAAGAAGAAAAAAGGGAAAAAAAAAAAAAAAAAGATAAATTAATTCTTGTTTTAACTTGTCGGATGTTCGGCAGATTTCATTTGTAGACTATATTTTGTTCTTTTTTTCTTTTACTATTTTCTTATTCTCAACAAGAGATTATTGTTCTTATCATTCAATCAATATTTTCTTTTCTTTTTTTTTCTAAAGCATCCGAATAGATACATTAATTATATAGTAGATATAAAGTAAGAAAAAAAGGATTATGAAAGTTTACAAAAAAAAAGAAAGAAAGTATAACATAATGTGTTAGAGATGATTGTTATATCTAACCAAATGAGTATATTAATAAGATAATATTTATTAGAAAAACAAATATTCAGACAATATGTTTTATTTTAACCTAATTAATAGTTTTATTTTTGTGTTTTAATATAAATAAATTCAAAATCTTAAAAATTATTTATTCCATATATTAAATCGATATATTTATTATTAGTTCGATTATATCGTTTAAATTATTTCTTATGATTTAAATTTTTAATGAAGAAAAAATATTGAATTTTGTTTAGATAAATGAGAATATAGATTTATTCAAATAAAAATAAACTTTGTAAAAGTACAAAAAACTAAGTTCATCTGAAATAATTATGTTTTTTCGAGATAATAATAATAAAATGATTTGAATTGAATGAAATAGTAAAATTGTTTCAAATAGATATCATCGGAAGTTTACTTATAATAATTATGTATATTTACTCGTATCAAAGATAAATAACATGAAAACATTTTTTTAAAAATATTCATGCAATTCAATTATTATTTCAACTTCTTATCATAGTTTTTTTTTTTCTATAATATCTATTTATCGATCTACAGTTAACAAAATAAATATCATCTTCAAATTGACTAAATCTAATAAAACGAATCAGATATTATTTTTCATTTTAAAATTTTGTTCACAAAATAAGATAAATATTAAATAATCTTGTTTAAATATAAAACTATTTCAAAGAAATATTTTCTCGGTTGATGATATATACATAGAACTATGAAATCTGTCTAGAAGACACTTTTTCTTTTCTGTCTTTATCTACCTGGAAATGACTGCTGGCCAGTATACATATAAGAATGTGTTATATGAACCAAAAACAAATCAGGAAGATTGATTTATATTGTTGTTTCTTTCTAATATATTTTATTGTATAACTGAACATTTAATCATCAACTTTCATTTGAGTTGTCCACTTGATTTATTTCTATTAACATAAAATAATTAAAAAATAAAAACGTTCGACAAAATAAATAATTAAAATAAATAGACAATCAGAAGTTAAAATTTTTCATATAATAAAATCACTTCTTATTTTCATTATCAAATATATTTAATAATGTACTGAAATTGAATGCATTTGTCAAATTACTCAATAATACTAAAGCTATCCATGAAGATTTTATTTTCAAAAACATAAGAGTCAAGTAAATATATTTACCATAATGTCGACTATTATCCGAGACGAATACAATATAGATGAATGAAGGCAAGCTTGTATCTCGTTATTTTTTCTATTCTGGTGGCCTCTTAGGTGGATATCATCGCCATTAGGTTTCTAATAAAACAATATTTAGTAAGAAAAGAAAAAGCTAATTGGTCAGAAATTATTGTTTGTTTATTTGACATTTGTTTAAGAATGACCTGAAATTGATTATTATTTTAATTAAATAAATAATTTTATAGTTTCAAGCATATATCAGGTTAACTTGAAAATATTTGATGTATTGAATTGTTATTCTTCACTTGTTTATAATTAGTTTTTTTATTTTCAGACAGAAAACAGTATATATAAATATTCATAAAAAAAACAACCCTCTTCTATTATTCTTTATGAAACATCGTCATACACAAATTTCTTTAGTTTATTCCATAATGATATAGATAATCTCTTTAATTATTTAAATCTAAACATTGATTTAAATTATTCGAAACATTTCAAATTCATTAAGAATATTATTTATCGAATTTATAATCAGATTTCATATGTCATAATTTCTTCTATTTAATCTCAATGAAAAATATTTATTACAAATATAAAGTCGCTTTTATGATTTGACAATGTTTATCTTTGATTCTTAGCCTTTTTTCTTCGTTTATTCCGAAACCGATAATATATTCAATTGCCATTATAAAAAAAAGTCGTGTGTTTCTAACATTTACATTTATTGACAATAAATGAATAATAAAAACATATAAAGATCACTAAAACTGTTATAGTCATTTATGGAATGTACACGAAAAAAACACAGATTAAATTGTAAAAAAAAGAAAAAAAAAGTCATGTCACTGTAATATACTGGTTAAAAAAAAATTAGAAATAATATTATGAGAAAAATATGAAGAAATAAGGACGGCATTATTTGCCTTGCTGATGCATAATAAAATAAAAATTCGTCAACAATTTGCCATGGATTTCTACCGTCATCATAACGAATTGGACAATCATCATCTATTATTCATAAATATAATATTCAATCAAATTTATTCAAATAAATAACTTACGAATTCGTTCAGCTTCGTCAAGTTCAATTTTAAGATCAGCTCCATCTTGTGCTTCATAACTTTGAGATGTTTGATTAAAACCACAAAATGATCCAGCTGATCGTGAAAGATATATTTTAAATAAATCAATTCTTTCATAAACCCAACATTTAAAATTAATATATGGATCATCACGATCATAGGTTATTAAATAAGATCGAGAATCTTCTCTCCAATAACCAGCACATTGATATATATAATCTGGTTGTTCATAAACACCAATGGGTGTTCCATATGGATCTAATTGTCGACAATATTCACGATCAGCAAACATCGATTTTGTTTGATCACCACATATTGTCCATTGTGATACCATATATTGCGGATCACATGTTATATACCAACCATGATCACGCGGTCGAGGTGTTATACCACCACGAATTCTTGTTTGAATTAATGAATTAGGTTGTCCAACTTGTTTAAATGTCCACATACCAGTAAATGGACATTCAATAGGAGCTGGAGGATCCAAAACGAAAACTTGATATTTCCAATTGGCATCATTACCAAAACTAATCCATGAACATACTTCATAAAGTGGATCTCGTTTTGATAAATCGTCATAAACATTTGTCATAAATGATTTTGATTTTCTATATCGAAGAATATTATGATGACGATCTTTAAAATCGAAACAAATATAATATGAAAAACATTCTCCTTTTGTCACTGTTTTAACTAAATATTGTTGTCGACTTATTTGTTGACAAACATAATAAGTTTCTCTTAGCCAACCACGATTATTAACTTGTGATATTTCATGTATATGTGTTGCATTAATTATTGTTCGTGCATTAACATTAGCTGTATTAACCCATTCTCCAGTAAAATTATCTGGGAAAAAAACAAGTTGGTGTTGGAACTTCCGGAATAATAGGTGTTATAATAACTTTTTCTGGTCCATCAGTTGGTGAATAAAGTCGAGCACATTCAGCAAATAAAGATTTAGCAAACCATTGGGGTTGATCTTGACGTGTTAACATACAACGAAATTTATCATACCAACGTTCTGATCCAACACGTTCATTAGCAATACCAGTAAATACATCACCTTTATCATTAATCCAATAACCCAAACATTGATAAAGTGGTTGTGCATCAATGGATGAAACAAGATCTCGACAATAACCATATGTCATCCAAAAACGTTCATTAACAGCTTCAAATGGAGTTCCAGGATCAGGACATGATACTAAACGTGATATTGGATTATCACATATACCAATACCACCTTCACGAAATTCATATGTAAAATGATATGTTCCATATATTGTTGCACGACATTCTTCAGCTGAATATGTTTTTGCTATTTAATTAAATAAAACAAAAAAATTAATGAAAAACAAAAATTAAGAAAATAAAATAGATAATTAAACTAACAAAATAATGTATCAAAATCAGCATCTAGATTAATACTTGCACAAAGATCTTGAAAATTCATTTGATTTGTTACAATTGATGTTATTTCATTACATTCACTTTTTCTTATTTGAAGAATATTTCGTGTTCGATTATATAGTTGATAACATTGATAACATGATTTTTCCCTTTCAGATAAAACATTTTATTTGTTTTTATCATATTAATAATAAAAACAATCAACTTACTTATCTCTGTAAATAAGTTCAAAATGATGTTTTGAAACATGATCAAACGGATTTTCTCTCCAAATGAGATTAAAACATTCTCCCATAGCATGATTATCAAGAACTGTTATTATATTAGCAGTAGCACCACGGCCTGATTCTCGACGATAAAAAAGTCTATCAATATCTCCATTTTCTTTTAATGATGTATGAGTTTCAAGACCATTTTCATACGAATAATATTCACCCAATAATGGACGATCGAATGTACACAATATTTGACTTTTTACTAAATGTTATAAAAAAAAAAAATTTTTTTTTAATTTTATTTAATTCAATGTTATTTATTCAAAAACCTGTTTTCTCAATTAACGTGACTAATAATAATATCAATGCTTTTGTCAACTGCATTTTTATTATTATTATTATCTAAAAAAAATTAAAAACATAAATATTTTTTATATTTTTATTACAAGCATTAATCAAATTGCAATTAGAGAAAACTGTGAAAAAGAAAAGATCCATAAAGCAATGGTTGAATTAGCATAAATCCTTCTTTTTTGCAGAAGATCTTTTTCATTGATTTTTTTGTCAGTGAATATTTTATTTATCTAGAAGAAAAAAAAAAGAATCTTTTTTGGTTTTTATTATGAAATTGTCAAAAAATTTATCTGACCTACATATTTAATTATTGATTTATCAACAAAAAAAAAACCGACAAAAATCTGACAGAAATTATCGAAATATAATGTACAAAAAAAGAACAAAGAAAATTTTAGAAAAAGATCTGACAAATGACATGATTATGAATTAACAAAATGCAATAACGAATTATTAATTAAATAATATGAATGAAATAAAAATAAAAAAGAAAAGAAAACATTTGCTCAGATGAATCATTGAAGATTTGGCATAGTAAAAATGAAATTCTTCTAAATCAATAAATACATTTCGACCATCATCATAACGAATTGGACAATCATCATCTATTATTAGATTATTTTATATACAATTTTAAAAAATCAAAAAACAAACAACTTACGAATTCTTTCAGCTTCAATAAGTGTTACAGCAAGATCAGCACCATCATCCGATTTATAACTTTCAGATGTTTGATTAAAACCACAAGCTGAACCAGCTGATCTTGATAATGTTATCGTTGTTAAATCTCTTCTTTCATAAACCCAACATTTATAATTATTATAAGGATCATCACGATCATATGTAACCATCATTGATCGAGAATCTTCTCTCCAATAACCAGCACATTGATATATATAATCTGGTTGTTCATAAACACCAATGGGTGTTCCATATGGATCTAATTGTCGACAATATTCACGATCAGCAAACATGGATTTTGTTTGATCACCACATATTGTCCATTGTGATACCATATATTGTGGATCACATGTTATATACCAACCATGATCACGTGGTCGAGGTGTTATACCACCACGAATTCTTGTTTGAATTAATGAATTAGGTTGTCCAACTTGTTTAAATGTCCACATACCAGTAAATGGACATTCAATAGGTGCTGGAGGATCCAAAACAAAAACTTGATATTTCCAATTGGCATCATTACCAAAACTTGCCCATGAACAAACTTCATAAAACGGATCACGATTTGGAAATAAATTATATAAATTCGACATAAATGATTTTGATTTTCTATATCTTAGTATATTATGATGACGATCTTTAAAATCGAAACAAATATAATATGAAAAACATTCTCCTTTGGTAACAGATTTAACTAAATATTGACTACGAGATGTTTGTTGACAAACATAATAAGTTTCTCTTAGCCAACCACGATTATTAACTTTGGCTATTTCATGTATATGTGTTGCATTTATCAATACACGAGCATTTACATTTGCGGTATTTATCCATTGACCTGTTAAATTGCTTGGAAAATAACATGATGCTGTTGGCTTTAAAATAAAAATAATAATTTATTATAACCATATTTAAATTTTATTTCGTATCGATATTTTTTTTAGAATTATGTTTTATAAAAACAAAAACAAATCATCTTGATTTATATTCGAGAGGGAGTGTATCTATCATATAAAGTAAAAACTTAATTTAATTTACTTTTATAAAATGTGGTCTTTTAATTACTACTTCGTCAGATTCGAGAGATCTCATGGTTATTAGAATGTCCTAAAAGTTTCAGTCTGACCGAATCCTGTATTCTTGAGACACTGAATTTTCACAACTATTCAATTTCCTGACTTTCCTATGGCAGATGATCATTTTTTTAGCCATTCAATATCTCACGAGTGAGGGGTTCGTTTTGACGGAAATTTTTAGGACATTGTAACAACAACGAAGTATCTTTATGGACAAAATTTAAAGTCAAAATACCATCGTTCGATTTTTCTATGAATGCCTTGCCTCAAACTAAAAATCCAGTGTAATGCTCATAAGTCAGCTTCGACAGCTCATGGGCACAAATCCTATCAGGCTTTATCATTAACACTGAGGTTTACTTGTGAGAAAAATATGAACTCTAAGCCAAGGAAATACTTCGAATACTTCTCTTGAAAGTTTTAATGAAATGAAAGATAATATTCATATTTAAAATCGAAAATAGATAACTAACTTCTTCTGGAATGATAGGTGTAATAATAACTTTTTCTGGTCCATCTGTTGGACTTGATAAAGAAGAACATTCAGCAAATAAAGATTTGGCAAACCATTGTGGTTGATCTTTTCGTGATAACATACAACGAAATTTATCATACCAACGTTCTGATCCAACACGTTCATTAGCAATGGCAGTTATTATATTTCCATCATTAGTTATCCATGAACCAAGACATTGATTTAATTGATCAGCATCAAACGAAGATGTCAAATGTTTACAATATCCATATACCATTCTAAAACGTTGATTTATTGCTTCAAATGGAGTTCCAGGATCAGGACAAGATATTAAACGTGAGGTTGGATTATCACAAATGCCAATACCACCTTCACGAAATTCGTATGTAAAATGATATGTTCCATAGATTGTTCGACGACATTCTTCCGCTGTATAGCTTTTTGCTAAACATTCTATTTCCGAATACTGTTTTTAACAATTTTAAATTGAAACTTACAAAAAAGTGTTATAAATTCACTTCGTTCATCAATAGTTCGACACAATTCATCAAAATTCATTTGATTTGTTATTAAAGAAGTTATTGCTTCACATGAACCTTAAATAATAAATAAATAAACAAGCAAAGATTTTTTATTTTGTATTTTCCAAAAACATAATATGTTGAAATACTTATTCGTATTTGAATAATATTTTTTGTTCGATTAAACATTTGATAACATTGAAAACAAGATTGAGATCTTGACAAAAAGAAAATGTTTTATTTAATAAAATAATAAAATAAAACAAAATACTTGTCACGATAAATAAGTTCATAATAATTTCGTTTAAGAGTTAATTGAAAACATTCACCAATATCTTTACTAACTAAAAGACCTCCACTATCTTTTCTAGTTGCACCAGCACCTGATTCACGACGATAAAAAAGTCTATCAATATCTCCATTTTCTTTAAATGATGTATGAGTTTCAAGGCCATTTTCATATGAATAATATTCACCCAATAAAGGTCGATCAAATGTACACACACCTATTCCAACTAAACAACAAATTTCTTTTTTAACTTTTTACATTTATTTATTTTATTTATTAGACAAACCGGTTAATCGTAAAAAAGTTAATACAAATAAGAATATTAACATTGTTCTTCGAACAAAAAAAAAGCAAGAACAAACTAATATAAAAGAGTTCAATAAATGACTCAGCCATCTTTTTTTTTCAATTTGTATCAAAAAACAAGACTCTACAGGTAAAGGTCATTCAACGATAGATGGCATTTTTTTTATTCATACCTTCATACAGCAACACTATATAGAATTGTTCACCATCTTTTTATTAGTGTAGATCTAATCAGTCACATGAAAAGTTTCATGATGGTCTCTACTTAATAAATGAATACTATTTAATATGATATTCAGCAAAAAAAAAACTTAATCTATTAGATATTGATTAACAAATTAAAAAATTTATTGAAATTTCTTAAGTAGTAGGCATATTATTAAATAGAAAGACATGTTTATAGCATAAAATGATGTTTATCATAGATAGCAATGAGTTTACTTTGAATATAATGTCAAAGGAATCGGATATAAAAGTGATATGTATTTACTGATTATCAATCATGTAAGTATGAAATAATATATTCAACTAGGCATTTTATTGATCGATTTTGATTAGAATTGTTATTGTAGCTTTAAAACATTTTTATAAACTTGTTAAATTTGAAGTTTTACTTTTAAATTTGATAATTAATTTAAAAATGAAACGTTTTAATTCTAAGACGAACTTCTGCTGCATATCTCGATTTTCACTGTTTTAACTGAGTCTTTCTTAAACAGAATTATGAACCTATTAATACAGTGTATCCTGTGTTGAATGACAGTGATGCATATCAATGATAACAACTTGTTTTGATCGATTCTAATTTCGCATTAATTGCAAGAGTTCATGATGACATCCAACTTTGAGAGTTTAAATAAACTCAAAAGGTTCCATCTACTCTTGATGATAGATTATTCTTTTTTTTAACTCATTTTATTTTGTTTGTAGTTTTACGTGAACTTAAAATAATATGATTTAGTAGACAAAGATAATAAGCAAATATTTTTAATCAACAGTAATAATATTTTCCATTTTTAGGCTTGTATGCTTTCTTTCTGAAAATACACAATCTTAATGTCATAGAACAACATTAATGAAATCAGAAATGATTTGAAAGCATAATTTGTTCTACAGAAAAGATTTTATTTATCGTCCAATTCTATATTCTTTGGTTTTCTATTCACTGAATGTGTGAGGCATACTGCGCAGTTTTTTCTATTATGTACTTCTAACAGCTTGCAGGCAAGATCAGGATTGATGTTATCTATCAAATATATAGGAATCAAAAGTGTTCAGTTTTTGAGAAAGTTTCTCGTTGGTAATCAATTGTTTTGAGGCATAGAATCAAGTACAGTGGAGTGTGATATAGTCAACCAATAGCCTAGACTTATGAGAAACAATCCTTTTTAACTATAAAACAGCAGCAATAAAAACTATTGATTATAAAAATTTGATTTCGAATTGAGCTTGAAAACGAAATTGGCATAAACTTATCCCACATCATCATAGAGATCCACACAGTTTACGAATATCATTTATATATGTTCCTTAAATATTATCACCAGTATATGAGCCATCAAGAAATGAAAATTTGAGAAAAGATTGATTTCTTATATATGATTTGATGCATCCCAAGAAACTCTACAAAACCATATATGTCGTGTTCTGATTCTAGTTAGTTAAATATCAACTCTTATTATTGATAAATTAGAATTATCTTTATTCATAGTAATTTATCATGCATTAAAACAAATTCAATCAGGTTGTAGAAGAACAGAAATTAGTAAGTAAAAAAAACCGAGAAAAAGTAATTTTGAATGTTTTAGTGTCAAATCCGTGTGCAATAACTAATTGTTCATATTGATGTATTTTAAAAGCATTAAATCAGTATGAATGTTTATATCCATTTAATACAACCATTCAAGAAGATAGTCGAACATGTAATAGATGTATGTATATAAAAATTTAAAGAAAAACAAAATAATATGAATACTTTTTTTTTCTCTAAAGCTATTGTTGCTAAACGTGAAAATGTTTCACAATGTCATTATGTACATGGTAAATGTGTTTATCATGTTGATGAAAGTTTTGGTTATCGATTAACTGGTTGTCTTTGTTTTCCGGTAAATTGAATAGAAATGGAAAGTATTTTTTTTTAATTTTGTTTTCAAAGGTTATGAAAGTGAATATTATGATAACCCTATTGGAGAGCCATCAATCTCTCCGCATCTATTAAAAATTATTATCATTGCATTAAACCAAAGTACATTGACAGGATTAATTTTCAATCTCTAACGAACGGACCTACTCAAATAGTTCTGTCCTATTTTAATCATTTTTTTTGCCTATAGACACTACATAATGTTCTAATAAAAATCTCAGAGGATTTGGGTTTTGACGAACGAGAACAGATTTTGAGATGATTAAAAGCTCTCGAGCCCATATTTTTCCCAACGCTAAGAGATGTATAGATTAGAACAGGTTCCAAAGAGACCGTACTGACGTTAAGATTTGACCAGCATTTTGACATTTAAATGAATCCTATTGTTGAGTGTCGATTTGAAAAGTTTGTCCAGGATAGGAGTCTCAGTGATACTAGCTGATGAACAGAATTTCAAAAGTTTTCGATCGATTGGCTCTGAGATATGCAACTGTCAAAATTTGTATGTTTTTTTTTACACCATATCAATTAAAAATCGCTCGAGTTCTGAAAAAATGCAATTCATTTATGAACAAAATCAAGTCTAGTTTCGGAGAAATTATACAACAGGTCAAATATATAGTTTATCACGCTATCTATCGAAAATCAATCAATAACGTTTTTATTTCATCGCCATTTTTTTAAATTATTTCTTCAGCTCGAATTCTAGAATTTTTCAAAAACTTTCAGAATATGACTTTGCTTTCAACTTTAGACAAAGTTTTATAAATGAAAAAACAATTTAAGAAGTAAAAAAATGTCTATTTCATGGAGTTCGTCGGCAGAAAAATTTTATAGAATATTTAAAACAATTAAATGATTTGCCAACTGAACGTAGAACAGCATTTTAAGTTTTGTTATTCATAGAACTCAATGAAAGAACTAAACCATTTTCCACAAAAAAAATTGACCCCATTTTCAACTCATCTAATAAGACATTTTCTTGAAGTATTGATACACTAAGACTGATTGATATATGATTAATGCCTACAGAAATCATCTCCGACATAGAGAACTGTTGGAAAAATATTATTTTCAAACACAATAGACATCGCTCTATCAAATGCAATACTTCATTGTCTCTTATTATTATATTTATTATTATCGATTTGCTTGCTCGAACGGTACAATGACTGTGCTCTTCACTCATATATATATATATATATATATATATTGTGTAAACAAAATAACAAAAACAAAATTGTTTTGTATTTCCTTTGTAAATGCAGCACGTTGATCTATTAATGAAATAAGTTTATTGCGATGAATCAAGCAGTAAATACAGAAAAGAAAACTTTTGTCAACTGTTAACACAATCAATTAATAAAATAGACAAGAGAATAAAAAATCTAATTAAATGTTTTATCCAATGGAAGAACTCATATAATCGACTCAACGACAGTAAATTCTTGCGTGTTTTTTTTTCCCGATATTTATTCTATTAAGAGGGATTTTATCATAAATCTACAAGAAAATTCAAAGTGAGATTTTCTCGAGGAAAAAAAGAAGAGCCGAATTGATGATGATGATGATGGTTTATTGAATAGATATATGAATTATTATAGTGAGAAAAAAAAATCGATTATTATATTTCTGTGCATTGATGTTCGAGCATCTTCGTCAAGTACAACAATGAAAAGTAGCAAACACATGTGTTTTACTATTTTTTTCGCGATGAATTCAAGTGAGTTTCAATATGACTTATCAATGATTTAAAACATAATTAATATGATCATTTCAAAATGTTCTTCATTATTTCATTGAGTTTTTTTCCAATGAAAATTTATTTAAGTTTGATTGTCATTTTTTTTTCGAATAGTTAATTAGTCTGCTGAATTGAATCATAAGAAAAATCAAAGTATTTACAATGATTTTTGATAAAAAAAAAAATAGAAAATAACAAATAAAAAGATTTCAAATTGATAAAAGATAATTGAATCGAGAGTCTTATGGATTATTTAGATTATAATTAACAATGATTTAGAAAAACAGAAAAAAAAAGAAATTGAATGATTAACTTATTGATAAAAATATATTGCATATTGATCATATTTGATAAGTCAATCTTCTCGTTCTTGTCAGAATAAATATATATGGATTATTTTGCAAATATGACATGAAAACTTTCAATCAAGCAAATACTAACAAGAAGAATTGATTCTGAAAGTCTTGAATATGTTTGCTTGTTTCTATTCTAATATCTGCATATGATAAAGTAGTTTTGTTTGCCGTCATTCACATAAAAAGGGCATATGTGATGTTTACATTTCGGAAAGAAAAAGCTTAATCAAGTGATATGAAACTTTTCCAATAAAATATTAGCATTAAAGTTCATCTATCTATTATGTGTTTCAAGTCGATTTTGTAAAATCATCCTCGGCTATATTTTCAAGGGTAAGATATAAACAAAAAATTTGAACTATTATTCATCTATGCATTGATGATTAGAATCTAAATAATCTACATTATCATCATTGAATATTGATTTATCACCTATAGAAATGATTTCGTTAGATAATTTAATTATTGTTTGTTTTTATGTTCCTAGACGAATCTGTTTTTAGAATAAAATATTCAAAAGCAAAATTAATTTGATTGAGACATTATCTATTGTAAATATTCTCTTTTTTTTTAAAATTTGACTATAGAAAATAAAATCTCTATTTGAATAATTTAAGATAAATAACATTCGAAATGATAGATTCTTCATTAATATTGTTTTTATTGTTTATCTTTATAGAAATACTATTTTATATATTCAAGAGAATATTTTTTCCAAATAAGAAAACCAAAATTGAAGAAAAATAATAAGAATCTTTCGAAAATGTTAAATTAAAAAAGTGATTTGATTTGTCTCATGATAATTGTTTATGAAAATAAAGTGATAAAGAAAATTTATTTTAATAATTGTTAACATCAGTCAGTTTAACTAAGATGATAAAATAATAATTCATTGATTTTTATTCTTTTTTTTTAATAACTTTTTATTGAATATTTTAACATGTTAATAAACGTTCTTCCATCAATGTCACTTAGTAGAAAAATATGTCAAAATAAAACAAATATAATTTCAATATCTAATGTAACTTCTATGTACGATTAGATATTGTTAAGTTCAACCTCATATGTTGTCAATAGTATAATAAATTTGTTTTGTTTTCGAGAATGATATATCCGGCAAGAAACTTTTTTTTTTCTGTTTTGAGAATGTCACTTCCGGCCACAAAAAAACCTATTGTTCCATTTTGGATCAATGATTCTTATTGAAGAAGAAGAATAGATTTGTTCTTTTATTGGATATTTACTCGATTTTAACTATACAATATATCATTCGAGGTAAGAAACATTGATTACAATTTAAATAAATGTTTTTTTTTTTAATTTTGAAATATTTCGATTGAATAATTATTAAAATGTAAAACAAAATAAAAAGATTAAATTAAATTGAAATATTAAATCTCATGAGACATATCTATTTCTTATTTTATGTCGAACTTTTCAAATAGATTTCATTATGGATTAAATTTTAACATATAATTATTGATCGTTTATTGAATTTGAATAAGATAAAATAAATTTAAAGATGTTAAAATAAGCAAAAATTGAATATGATCTATTATTATCTTCAACGTACGATTAAACAATATTCGTTTATTTAAATAAAAATCGAAACCAAATAAGATAAATCGATATAATTAAAAAAAAAAGTGTTACTTTTGTTTAATGCTCTTATTTTATTTCGTGTGTTTTTGAATTGTTTGATAAGTATTCGATTAATAAATATTTTAATATAAAGATTGACAACATTTCTACAAGAGAAACATTTAACAATTTGTTATTTAAATATTCTCATTGGGATTTATCTATATATAGAAATCATAAAAATGAACAACGATGAAAGAATATGTCACATTTACAAGTTAATACTATAAATATTCATCTATTTATGATAAATAATATGAAAAAAGATTAATAAATCTTCTTAAATAGTTCATTTACGGAAAATTTATAGATTATTTTCTGTTACCATACATTCTATCTTGTTTCGAACTATTTTTGATATTTCTTACTTAATAAAATTTGCTTAGCCGAATAATCATAATCAGTTCGTTTCACATTAGATAAAAAAAATCTAATAAGCGATGAATAAATAAAATAATTAATCGGTCAGATGAAAACAAAACTTTTTTGTACTATTTTAATATTCTACCATTCTTTAATCGGTTAATTTATATGATTTTTTTTTAAATAAGTAAAGAGATGATTACTTTAGTTATAGAGTACAAAAAAAAATTTCTTCATTTAAGATCGAATATATAATAATGTATTCGAGTTATTTATTATTGACAAGCGATAAAAATAGTTTTTTTATTGATATATTCAATGAGAATAAGTCTTATTGCGTATATTATTTATGGAAACTATTATTTTGACATATGAATGATTATCGAATAATCACCTATTTGAATAATTGAATTTTTAAAGAAAAAAAAACCGAATCACATTTTAATATATACTATTGATCTGGTGCATTAAATTCCTTTTAAATAGATCATTGCTCTATTTAATTGTAATATCTAAAATTAAGTTTGAGTTTTCATATTAAATTATTTGAAGTTGGATTATTCATATTCAATATGAGAATAAAGAAATTTATATAAAAGAATTTAAAATTTATTTTCAAACAACTAAAGATAATCTTTTTAGTTATTTTAAATATTCGTTTTTTTTTATTTCATTAAATAAATAAATAAGAAAAATTTGAAAAAAAAATCGAGTTAATTTGTCAAATATTTGAAAAAAATGTCAATTCTAGACAGATGAAATATTAGAAAAATCCGATTATATTGACACTCATTTATTTGAAAAGACGTTTTCTGTTTTGTTGTTATTATTAGGAATATTTTCATAATAAGATTCATGTGATGAATAAACATGAAAGACCAATTAGAATAAGTAAGAGAAAAGTTTCTTGTTACTAATTACTATTATTATTATTATTATTATTACAAAAAAGATAATCGGAATTATAGATAACGACTATTTTAAACTTGAATCATTGTTTATTAAATTCAATATTTGGATATCATTTAACATATATCATTTGTCTTTTCCTTCTCTTTTTAGAAAAAAAAAAAAAAAAAACTTATTTTCTGATAATATTACTGATGATAATGAAACAGATTCATTTATCATTATAATTGACACAAAAGAACGTTTTTGTGTTTCTAACATCGAAAGAAAATCTATCTACGTCTAAAGTTAGTTGATCTTGCATGAAAAGAAAATAATTTTTGAAGAAAAAAAAAGAAAGAAAAGTGGAGCTATTTTCTCATTTCCGTAATAGTTTTTGATTTGATAGATAATGGATATAATGATTGATTCGATGTGTGACTTATCGCCTAAAGGCAAAATACATCGAAACTTTTCTCTGAAAGCATTTCTAAGAGAGAGACAACTATATGAATATCCCTCTTTTTTTTCTTACTGCTTCTTTTTTTCTTCGTTTTTTTATTTTTCCTATTTTTTATCAAAGATTCTGTTCTTTACATCACATAATATTTATTTAGTTAGTTAGAGTTATCTTAATTTAATCCGTGTTATATATACATATATATTGTGACTTTTCGAATATGCAATAATAGATAGATCTGTTCGTGACAAATAGATAATAAAAAAACTAGAAATCTCAAAACATAGATAATTCATTCAGATAAAATCTTCGGTAAGAATAACAATATTTAGTTAATGACTTGTTACCCTTATTTTTTTTCATATTCATAAAAAAAAGTTCATATCATGTTATGTTGATAAAAACTGTTTCTTATAACATGATAATGTTCATTTCAGCATATGAATATCAATAAATAAATGATGCTGTCGAATACAACTCGTAGTCTTCTTGTTCGATTTAGCGAAGATTATGCTCAAATTCATGGAAGAATTGTATTTCCATTAACAATACTTGGTATATTAACAAGTATCGTTACAATAATAATATTAAATCGAAAAAATTTTCAAACACCAACAAATTTAATTCTTCAACATGTTGCATTTTTTGATACAATTGTATTAATATCATATAATATATATTCATTTTATTTCTATATTCTTCATGATCCAAATCCATTTGTTGGTCAATCACAATTTTGGCCACGTTTTGCTATATTTCATTCAAATATTGGTTTAACAGCACATTCAATTGCATTATGGCTTACCTGTCTTCTTGCTATCGTAAGTTTTATTATTAGAAAAAAAAATACATATCGATATAATAGAGTAAAGTCAAGTAGTGTAATTTCCGTTAATTTAAAAGAAAAAATTGCTCATCGAAAGGAAACCTTGTGAAGATCTGTTCACTCAATGAAACACTCGACATTTATTCGATTCTTTATTTTATAATCAAACTAACAAAAACATTTTTTTTTTCATTGTTTATTTTTATTATTAACAAACAAATATAAAACTACTGTTGTTTTTCGATAAAATATAAAAATAATTAAAAATATTGTTTAGATTCGTTATACAATAATATCAAAAACAAAACAAATATCAGTTAATTCAACACATGTGATGATATTAATATGGTTGGTTGCTCTTTTAATATGTTTATTAATGATACCAAATTATTTAGTATGGACTGTCGTTTGTGTTCCAGCTCATGTGCTTCTTCCAAAATCTTATCCAATAAATTCAACTGAAACAGTTTATTGGGTTAATACAGCAACAGGTCAAAGTTTAGAAAAAATTTCATTTGGAATCTTAGCAATATGTTTAAAAATATCTCCTGTTATTATATTAATTATATTTAGTATACTATTAATATTAAATATTCGTCATGCTCGTCAAATTCGTGAACGTCTTCGTCATAATTATTCATCAATAAATTCATCATCAAATATAAAAGTTGAAATGCGAACAACAACAATGCTTGTTTTAATAACATTATGTACTGTTTTAGTTGAATTACCACAAGGTCTTTTACTAATTGCTATTGGAATAGATAAAAAATTTTTTCTACTATATTCACAATTGGGAGATTTTTGGGATCTAACATCAATTAGTTCATCATTTATAACATTTGTTATGTATTGTTCAATGTCACAACAATTTCGTTTAGAAATGATATCACTTATATTACCATCATTTTGTATTAAAAAATCGAATTTAGAATCAACACAAAATTCTTTAATAACAAAAAAAAATCTCAAACAACTAAAAAGTCAAAATTGTACATTAATTATGGAAAAAGCAACAAATATTCCAGAAGATCTATAGTTTAAACATCATTCTTTTTGTTTTTCTTTTTCGTTAAATGTCTTAATAATCTATTTTAAAAATAAAATTTCTTTCGTTTAAATGTATTGTGTAAAACAAGCCAATCAATGAATCATTCACTTTTCTGTGTCGTTGACTATCTTTTTATTTTAATTCTATATTTTCTTCTAAATAAACCAAGAATTTATAAAAACAAACAAATCCTCTTTTTTTTTCTTTTAATTCATTTTATCGAGATAATCTATTATCTTTATAGAATTATTTAAACATCTTAGCCATTCAGCCATAGCGGCCTTATTTTCAATTAGAAAATTTTCGGACGATAATTTTAATTAACTGAGACAGTTATTCAAAAATATATAATTATATTTGTATCACTGAACATTTTCTATTAAATGACGTGAAAAATACTTGAAAACTAAATACAATTTAAATATTTCAATTTTGTTATGATGCCTTTTTCTAATACAATTCAAGACGATTCAGGGTAGTTCTGTTCGATTCCATTCTATCGTTAACGAAAACAAAAAGACCAATGCGGAAAAAAAACATTGCAGTTAATATTTATTTATTTCTAAATAATAAATCTGAGTATTTTCTAATAGAAAATATACATATAGAAAAAACAATATTTTTTTATCAATATGAGAAGATAAACAAAGCTCGTTTGACGATAAAATTACATTATCTTTTATCGAAATTGAATATTCTTATATAGGAATAATAATAAGAGAAATATGATTTCTTTACATGTAAATAACAAAAAAAATTTTCATCAAATACAATTTTTATTTTAGTTTTTTTTTTTTGGAAGCGACGTTTGTTTATCAAGTTTTTTTTGTTGTTTTAATCGAGCTTTTTCTTCTTTTTGACGTTTTTTCGACATTAGATTATTTACTAAACGATAAACAACAAATCCTATTTGAGAATACAAAAAAAATTTATTTATTTCAATTGAAATGTTTTATTAAATTGACTAACCAATAAGAGTAACTATAATAATTGCTGGAATAATAATTAATATATCATTATACGAATGACTTGTGTAACCAGGTCCTTTTAATTCAACCTTTAAAACAACGATTACTGTTTTAATTAATTATTTCATTTCTATTGACATACCATTTTTTAAAATTTAATGATTATTAATTATAAAAATAGTGTTGATTGCTTTAATCAATCAATTTAGCTTATAAATGTTTCCTATCAAAACATAACATAATTTTACTTTGAAACCAATCAACAAACTTTTTAATAGAACGACATCTCTCGATTGACTATTGAAAAAAATAATCGTCAATGTTTTAGAATAGAAAATAAAATTTTCCTTCTTTGAATTGATCAATTTATTGAATAAAATTCATTTTAAGATAAATATTTTTTTTGGATTTCGATGAAATGAAAATAGTTTCAAATATAAATAAAATATAAACATATTTGTATTTGAATCTCAATAACATAACAATATCAAATATCTTAAGAAAAAATAATCTTTCTAACTATTTTTATATATGATAAAGAGTTCGGTGAATAATCATTTATCAAATATACTATAATGTTTAACATTTATTATTTACAGATCTACAACTGCAACTTGAACTATAATGAATGGTCCTAGTTCAAATTTGATGAACAATATTTGTTCAACTTGATTGAAACAGCTGAATGAAAATAATAAATCTTAGAATTCAATTGAATGATTTTGTTCAACCTGTTTTGGATCAATAACAACTAAATATCCTCTTGATCTTGATGCCATTTTATCGTATGTACACATCATACGAATCAAATCTTTGACTGATAACCAATGATGAGGAAATCTTGTATGACTTGTATCCAATATGAGGACATGATCTGTTATTTCATTAAATCCACCAGTTAAACTTAAATGTCCCCCACGATGAATATGATTGTTATCTTTTTCTTTAAATTGTCTCAAATAGTTAACAATTAGAAAGTTTTTCTCTTGTCTAATATCCTTTCGAAATTGTTCTTCGACAGTTTCATCTTCACAATAATGAATTATAGATGGAAGACCACATCTTTCAAGAACATAAGATAATTTTGATAGAGTTATTCCATTTGACATATGACTTCTAGCAATATTTGAATAAATATTTGATTGACTCCAATTTTGATAAGGTAAAAGAGTATTTAGTAAAATCGAAGCACAAGCAATGCCACAAAATGACAAACGTTCTTGTACTTCAAAATGTGGATTAAGACGATCATAAGCGACATGTGACGATTTCGAAAAAATTTCTTGACCTTCAGCAGATGCCAATGGAATTATTATAGATGGATACCAAAGATCCATTCATCAACTATTTCAATGAAAAACTTTCAATAATATATTAAGGATTTAATAAACACAAATTAAATTACGTAGATTCAATTCTTCTCTAGGAAACATCGGATTATTGACCATTATGAAATACGAATGAATAACTATTCAAAGACGAAGAAACGAATAGATTAATAGAAACGATAGATATCACTCATTTACGATTCTATCTATTGACACTTATTAAGTATTTTTGCTTATTTACCATGAGAGATATTCTGCAAATATCAACAAAAGTTTTCACCAAAAAAATTTCACGACCATTTATCAAAACCGCACTTCAGAAGGAAACCAATAAGATTGAATTTTCCAAAGCAGAACTCTTGGAAAACAGATATGCTATGAAAGAAGTTTTCTACATCATATTTTTATAATTAGAGACACATACTCTTGCTGAAAAACTGAGGATGTACATGTAAGTATAAAAAGAGAAGCCACATTCAATCTGATTCATACTTATATGCAGCATATTTTCAAATTACTGAAAAATTATTCGAAGATAAATGACCTTTTCGTCATATCGACAGTTAGCGCATGCTTGAAAGAAAACAATCGACTTGGACTTATCTTGATCAATAAGAATCAAACAACAAAATTTTGCCTTACAAGATATTTTTATCAATTTTGAAAAATCATCCGAAAAGTTTTTCGAATCAGTAATTTGCATTATTTTCACATAGATTTTAAACAAACGAAAATACTATCGACTTGATATAAAACTTTACTTTCGTTCTTATTGTATTATCTTTATCTAACATGTTCTTCAATAATCAAAGAGTTTATTAGAAAAAGATTAGAAAAAATCAATGAAATATTTCAAAATAAAAATACAATCGTATGACTAAATATTATTTTTATGCAAATAATATAAATAACAGGCAGTCCGAGAGTTGAATTTCACTTGGCCATGAGTAATGATTTGTTGACTTTGATTCGGGATAATACAATCAGTTCTTGACTTTGACAGATTGATTACCATTTTTGCACTTTTCATATTATCGACACTACACACCACCACAATGAGCACTTCAATACTCCTCATAAACATTGAAATCCAGATAAACTACACTTTTCTATAATCATATAAAATTTTCAGGCAATCAATTATGGTTAGTCAATGTTTCAGTAACAGATGTCGGTTTCTAACTTGACGTTCAGTGTCACTATTTGTGAGATATATCAATAGGTATCAGTGCTAGGATTGTCAATGATAAATGAGTCGACATTGTCACATTACAACTCGTAGCATTATATTTTGTCCAATATGCCATGACTTTAGATTGATAATAAAATTATAACTGATGAAGATATAGTTAGCCACCAATGTAAAAGAAAAGCTTCTAAATAGACGAATCTTTATGTTTACGAAAATGCCATAAAAAGTTTTCGGGATGCATAATGTTTGATATTGTTCCGATTTTCTTTTTCAAGTATCCGAAACATCTCCTACAATTGTTGTCTCTCTTTCTAAAGAGCAAGAAATGATCGAGAAAAGCCTTTCCTTAGGAGGTTAATATCTATTTTCTATATGTCTTTTTTACTCATTGATAATAGAACGTACGTTCTGACTACTAGTGAAATATGAAATTGTTGTTATAAATAAACTACATGAACTAACCGCATAAAAAGTTTTCGAAAGGAACAATATACAAACAAGATCAGAATCAGAACCCATACTATTCAATGGAGAAGAGCCTTTGTATGGCAGTCTTAAATATCAGTCTCAATATGATATTATCGAGACTTATGTACTCCAATCACACAAAGATAACAGAGTCAAAATATTCGAGTGAAATGACCAAATGAAATTTTGTGGGTGTGAGTGGGTGTGGGTGTGGGTGTGTGGGTGTGGGGTGTGGGTGTGGGTGTGGGTGTGGGTGTGGGGTGTGGGTGAGGGTGTGGGTGTTGGTGTGGGTGTGGGT